CATGAAGGATTAGAGAAATCACGATTCTGAAAATAGTAACTGTTTTAGCCAAAATAGTACCGCATTTTCTTCTACGTGATACCTGATTTTGATCAATTAGTACCTACATTTGTAAATAAAAATTGATTATTTCAATTGTGGTCAACAGTTACAAAAAGTAGTACCAGTCATAGTGCAAGACACTACCACTTTTTGTTGTGTTAGTACCAGATATCGTGTCTCTAGTACCACTTGTAATGAACACATAAGAAGACCAAATTTCGGTCACAAATGATACTTATACGACCCAATCACTCTCACATTAGTTTATATAAGATTTTAAATGTCTTTTTATTGAGTTTAATCGCATATTGGTCATGAACTCAATACACTAATGAGAAAATAGTATACTAGACTTCATTTCATTGAATGACAAACTTCATCTCATAGAATCATCATACATGACTACTATTGTTTCTACTTATATGTTTTCACTTCTACTTTTTTGCATCCAAATCACGTGTGAACGATCCACGTGTCATGGTAGACATGAAGGATTAAAGAAATCATGATTCTGAAAATAGTAACTGTTTTAGCCAAAATAGTACCGCATTTTCTTCTACGTGGTACCTGCTTTTGATCTATTAGTACTTACATTTGTGAAGAAAAATTGATTATTTCAATTGTGGTCAATATTTACAAAAAGTAGTACCAGTCATAGTGCAAGGCAGTACCACTTTTTAGTGTGTTAGTACCAGATATCGTGTCTCTAGTACCACTTGTAACGAACACATAAGAAGACCGAATTTTGGTGGCAAATGATGTTTATACGACCCATAATAACTCTCACATTAGTTTATATAAGATTTTAAATGTCTTTGATTGAGTTTAATCGCATATTGGTCATGAACTCAATACACTAATGAAAACACTAATAGACTTCATTTCATTGAATGACACACTTCATCTCATAGAATCATCATACATGACTATTATTGTTTCTATTTATATGTTTTCACATCTACTTTTGTTCATCCAAATCACGTGTGAACGATCCACGTGTCATGGTAGACATGAACGATTAGAGAAATCACGATTCTGAAAATAGTAATTGTTTTAGCCAAAATAATACCGCATTTTCTTCTACGTGATACCTGCTTTTGATCGATTAGTACCTACTTTTGTGAAGAAAAGTTGCATATTTCAATTGTGGTCAACATTTACAAAAAGTAGTACCACTATTCGGCGTGTTAGTACCAGATATGCTGTCTCTAGTACCACTTGTAATGAACACATAAAAAAGATCGAATTTTGGTCGCAAATAATGTTTATACGACCAATAATAACTCTCACATTAATTTATATAAGATTTTAAATGTTTTTTTATTGAGTTTAATCGCAAATTCTTCACGAACTCAATACACTAATGGAGAAATACTACTTAATACACTTCAACTCATTGAATGGTACCGGTTTTGACGGAAATAGTACCGCTTCTTCTTCTATACAATACCTGTTATTGATCAAGTAGTACCCACATTTGGTCAATCAAAATGATCTTTATTTTTTTCACATTTACAAAAAGTAGTACCAGACCTAGAGAACAAAACTACCAATTTATGATGTTTTAGTACCTGATATTAGCTCTTTAGTACCACTTGTAACAAACATATAAAATCACTGAATTTCGATCGCAAATGATGTTTATATGACCCATAATCACTCAACATACTAATGAGAAAACACTACTAATATACTTCATTTCATTGAATGATACATTTCATTTCATAGAATCATCATAAATGACTACTCCAAATTCTACCTATATGTTTTAAATTCCACTATTTTTCGTCCAAATCATGCGTGAACGATCCGTGTGTCATGGTAGACATGAAGGATTAGAGAAATCACGATTTTTAAAATAGTACATGTTTTAGCTATAATAGTACCACATCTTCTTCTGCGTGATACCTCTTTTTGACCTATTAGTACCTACTTTTTTGAACGAAAATAGATTATTTCAATTTTGGTCAACATTTACAAAAAGTAGTACAAGGCATAGAGTAATATAGTACTAGTTATACATTGTTGTAGTACCTGATATTGGGTCTGATATAGCCATACTGTCGTGCATCGGTTCAGTAATCGCGGCATTGCCGCGATTGGCTCATAATGGTTCATATCGTCACGGTTTGAGATTACCGAGTCGACTTTAGCAAAGTCGACTCTATTATTAAGGTTCCATGATACTCAGTCAAGAAGCCCGGCTCTCGACCGAGTCAATGTACACCTGTCGACTAGAGTAAGTCGACTCCTGGTAAGATAACGGTCAGACGTATTAGGGTCTACTAACAGTTGAGTGCGACCCAGTCGACTCGACGTAATGTCTCAGGTCGACTGAGGGAGTTGTAGCTCGTGGTGCCCGATAGCTTTGACACACCTCAGCATATTGAAGAAGAATTAAGGATAAGAAGGAAGCTCAGGAAGGATCTAGATGCTGACTAGGAAGTAGGCGGAATATGAACCGACCGGGGTATTCTGGACATTTCAATTAAGTCGGCCGGGGCATTTTGGGGACTTCAGGTATATATTGTACTCCTATATAAAGGACTGAGGTAATCCCAAAACCCCAACTCCCATTCATTCCAGATCCTTTTCATTACTGCTGCTGCTCTGATAGCAGCTATCATCACCTCTCTCATACACTGACTTGAGCGTCGGAGGCTCTACGCCGGAAATCTCTCCGGCGTTGAGTTCTTGCAGGTGTTCTTGCGGCTCACAACAACGGTTCAATCGCCATCACATCAGATCTAAGCTCATCCGTACCGGTTCGTCCCAGATCCGGACGTTTTCTCATTAGACCGTTCCAGATCTGAGAAGAAACCCATCATTTCGCGCCGTCTGTGGGGAGCTCTTGAAGGAATTAAGAGCTTTACACCTAGCTTGGATCTGTTTCCGATGGCTGAGAAGGAAGGAGTGCAGAAAAACTTGAACGAGGACTTCAGGGCAACATGGACGGACAAGCGACCTCCGCCGATTCCCAGTTTTAGACCACCGCTTCAGGTGCTGGGATTCCCACCTTTTGGGGCACACGCGCCGTCAGGAGGGCGTACCGGAGAAGAGACGCCTATTACCCCACCCAGAGTCAAGATCCCGGTTCTCACGCAGGGGGAGACCAGCCACGTGAGGGACACGAGCGGAGAGACAGGTGATCACGCATCAACCGAAATCTCTCTAAGGATGGGGAGGCAGCCTGGGCGACTCGACCAGGAGGTAAGGCCACCGCCCCAAGGCGAGGAACAAATGGTGACCATGACGAGAAGCGAGATGCAGAGAATGATCGCAGAGGCAGTGGCGGCCCAACTCAAACGGACACCAGTCGAGCAACCAAGAGTCGAGCAGCCCAGGGTCGAACAAGCGAGGGTTGAACAACTCCAAAACGAACAGCAGCCCCCTGAGCGCGAACAGCAGGCGCAATCGCATGAGAGGCAAAACAGGAGGATAGACGAGGAGGAGCCCTCTGTCAGAACCGTCAATCCCCAAGCCAGAAACGACACACTGGAACAGCTGTTAGCGCAGGTCCGAGATTTGCAGGCTCGGGTCGAAGGAAGAAAGACGGGAAGCTCAAGGGGACACCCTTTTTCACAACATATTCTAGATGCCGACCTGCCTCAAGGCTTCAGGGAGCTTAATATCTGGTATAATGGGTCGATTGATCCCTCCCGACATCTTAGAAGCTTCGAAAACATGGCAGTACTACACCGATACAACGACCTCGTTCAGTGCCGAGCATTCCTGACGACCCTGCGAGGGCCCGCGCAGGATTGGTTTCACCAGTTGCCCCCGGGGGCCATTAGGGATTTCGACGGGTTTAGCTCGAGCTTCCTAAACCAATTTGCAAGTGTCAAAGCCCAAGAAAAGTCGTACCTTACTCTGATAGGTATGCAGCAGAAGGAAGGGGAATCTCTAAGGGACTACGTGGCGAGGTACACAAGGGCGTGTGTCGATGTCCCCTCGGCCACTGAGGAGATCAAGTCGGGAGGACTCACTCGAGGGCTACTCCCGGGATTGTGCAGAAATTCCCTAGCAAAGCGGCCCGGAAGGATGAAGTTCTAGGAAGGTGCGCCAAATACATGAATGTTGAGGAAGCCGAAGCCGACTTTCTGCAAGCGGCTGAGCCAAAAGCTGAGCCTCGGGATGAAAAGAAGGATAAAAAGCTGGCCCCAACAACTGAAAGGAAAGGATCCCCAAGAGCCGAGAGAGAGGGGTGACCAAGGGGGTGGAGAACAACCCAATATACTCCTCTGTCGGCCTCGCGCGTAAGAATACTGGAGGTTATGGAGAGAGAGATCCGCGACAACGTCGTCAGGTGGCCACAAACGAGAAAGGACGGGCCGACACAACCTAAAAGTAACCTGTATTGTCGATTCCACAAAGACTATGGCCATAACACCGATGAATGTCGGCACTTGAAAAATGAGATAGAGAGATTAATCAAAGCCGGCCATCTGAAGGAATTTGTTTATAAAGATCGAGAGCGGCCCAGTCGACGAAGGGAGAGGAGCAAAAGCCCTCGAAAGAGGGCGAGAACACCCGATAAAGAAGAGCTTCCCCAAAAAAGAGGAGTAATTCATATGATATTCGGGGGACCAACTGATGGCGATTCAAACCGAGCTAGAAAAGCATATGCTCGAGGGCATCATGGAAAAACCGAAGTGCAGCAGGTCGAAGAAGATAGTCCGGTGATGAATTTCGGACCAGCCGACATGGGGACAGTCGAGAGGCCTCATAACGATGCCTTGATGATCACAGCCCAGATATCGGGCTACGAAGTCCAGAGAATCTTCGTCGACACAGGAAGCTCGGTGAATGTGATCTTTTTCGATTGCCTTAAACGCATGGAACTCGACATTGAACTCTCACCTCTTCACACTTCACTTTTTGGATTTAATGGCTCGGAAGTCGCCCTCCTGGGGGAAACTACTCTCGCTGTCGTCCTTGGGGAAGGCGACTTAAGGAAGGTAAAAATGGTACGCTTTGTTGTGGTCGACGTCGAGTCGGCTTATAATGTGATTCTGGGAAGGCCGGCACTCAACGCATTCCAAGCGGTGGTGTCAACCTATCATATGAAGCTGAAATTCCCAGTCGGAAATAGGGTAGGAGAGGCCCGAGGTGACCAGAGGCTGTCAAGAACCTGCTATCAAATTGCAGTAAGAACAAATCAACGGACGGAGGGGAAGGAAGGAAAAAAGCCGATGATGAGCGAAAAAAGGCTAAGGAATTCTGATCTCGAACCCCACGGGGAGTTAATGGAAATACAAATCGGAGAAACAAAGGAGCAGACCACTAAGGTCGGGAAAGATTTGGGAGCCGAGCTACGAAACCAGCTGATTGCACTATTAAGGGAATTCAGGGATGTCTTTGCCTTCACCCCTGAAGAGTTGACAGGGATCGACCCCGCTGTTATGGAGCATAAACTCAATGTCGACCCCCTCAAAAAACCAGTAAAACAACGACTTAGACGTCATGGGGAAGAGATCGACAAAGCAATTGAAGTCGAGGTGGATAAGTTGCTGCGGGCAGGGCATGTCAAAGAAATCCAATTCCCCGAATGGATATCCAACACTGTGATGGTAAGAAAGGCACTAAACAAATGGCGCATGTGCATCGATTTCCGGGACTTGAACTTGGCCTGCCCAAAGGATCATTACCCTTTACCACGAATTGATCAGCTTGTCGACTCTACGGCTGGTTGCGAGTTATTGAGTATGATGGATGCATCTCAGGGATACCATCAGATCCCGTTATGCCCAGAGGACCAAAGTAAGGTGAGCTTCGTGACGAGTAAGGGGACGTATTGCTATGTTGTCATGCCTTTTGGGCTTAAGAATGCAGGAGCCACCTACCAGCGGCTGATGGACCGAATGTTCAAATCTCAGATCGGACGAAATATCGAGGTATATGTGGACGACATCTTGGTAAAAAGTAAAGTCTCAGCCTCGCACCCGGACGACTTAAGGGAAACATTTCAAACTCTTAGGACGTTCGGGATGAAGCTGAACCCCAACAAGTGTGCCTTTGGAGTAAAGGCAGGGCGATTCCTGGGATATGTCGTCACAGAGCATGGAATCGAGGTAAATCGGGAAAAAGTGAAGGCCATACTTGACATGGCCCCACCAAGAAGCATACGAGATGTGCAAGTTTTGACGGGACGGATTGCAGGACTGAGCAGGTTCATTGCTCGGGCCGCAGAAAAAAGCTTCCCATTCTTCAAATTGTTGAAAAAGAAGTCGACCTTTTTATGGAGTGACGAGGCACAAACGGCTTTCGAAAAATTGAAAGAGTTCTTGGGCGAGCTGCCCTTGTTGACAAAACCAGAACCCGGCGACGAGTTGGTGCTCTATATATCTGTGGGTGCAGTATCACTAAGTTCGGTGTTGTTACGAGAAGAAGGAGGTGTCCAAAAGCCAATTTACTACACCAGTCGAGTTCTGCAGGGCGCTGAGACGAGATATTCTGAAATCGAGAAAGCCGCCCTAACATTGGTAATAACGGCTAGAAAGCTAAGGCCATATTTCTTGAACCATGTGGTGTTAGTGAGGACGAACTTTCAGCTAGGGGAGACACTGGGCCGGCCCACGGTATCGGGTCGACTCGTCAAATGGGCAGTCGAGCTGAGCGAATATTCGATCAAATACGAACCAAGACGAGCCATAAAGGCCCAGGCCCTAGCAGATTTCATCCAAGAAGGTACCAAAGGAGAAGAAAAGAAATGGGTTGCTCATGTCGATGCGTCGTCGGCGGCCAAAGGATCGGGTCTTGGAATCGTTCTTGTCTCACCCGAAGGCGAGCAACTTGACTTTGCTATTAGAATGGGGTTTAAAGCCTCGAACAACGAAGCCGAGTACGAAGCGCTAATCAAGGGAATTCAACTCGCAATTGGTGGAGGAGCGTCGGAAGTCGTAGCACATTCCGACTCGCAGCTAGTCGTCGGACAAGTGTTGGGAAACTGCGAAATCAAAGAAGAGCGAATGATGAAATATGTCGAAGAAATCCAAAGCCTTGTGCAGGGTTTAGAAAAGTTCGAACTAACGCAGATCCCTCGGGAAGAAAACAAACGAGCAGATTGGCTTGCGAGAATAGCAAGCTCGAATGAGGGAAAGATGGGAAGTTCTATCATTACAATGCACTTAGAAGGGAGCGTGTTGGGCGAAACAATGGATGTCGAGGAAAAGGATGATTGGAGAAAGCCGATTCGCGAACTCTTACAGGGCCAGGTGCCTACAGGAGATAAGCAGGAAGCAGAAAGGGTGGCTCGATATCTGAGCAAGTACTTTGAAATCGAGGGGGTCATATTCAAAAAATCACTGGTCGGAACTCACCTGCGATGCGTCTCCGAAGATGAAGGAAATGTCGTTTTAAAAGAAATACATGAAGGATGTTGCGGAGCACATATAGGATCGCGCGCCCTGGCGGGCAAAGCCCTGCGAGCGGGATATTATTGGCCCAAGATGCGAGCGGCGGCCGAGCAACTGGTTCAGAAGTGCGAAAAATGCCAACGACATGGGCAAATCACTCACATCCCCGCCGAGTACATGACGACCATAAGCACCCCGATCCCCTTCGCGCAATGGGGAATCGATTTGGTAGGACCACTACCGATGGGGACGGGGCAGAAGAAGTTTCTTGTAGTCGCTGTAGACTATTTTACCAAATGGGTCGAAGCGGAGTCATTGGCAAAAATTACAGAGGAAAAGATGATCCAGTTCTTGTTCAATAATATCTGTTGCCGATTCGGAGTCCCAAAGGTCCTAATTTCTGATAATGGGACTCAGTTTCAGGGAAAACGAATTCAAGCGTGGTGTATTGACATGGGAATAAAGCAAAGATTCGCCTCGGTAGCACACCCCCAGGCTAATGGACAGGTCGAAGTGACTAATAGAACGATTCTCCAAGGATTGAAGAAGAGGTTGGAGAAAGCATCAGGGGCTTGGGTCGACGAGCTGACAACAGTCCTATGGGCTTATAGGACGACTCCAAGAAGCTCGACAGGCCAGTCCCCATTTCACATGGTTTACAGAATGGATGCACTTCTGCCTATCGAAGTTGGTTTAAATTCGCACCGATCAACATTTTACGAGGAAGGGAAGAATGAAAGGATGGTCGAAGAGGCTCTCGACATGATAGAAGAAGGACGAGAGGAGGCATGGGTGCGATCCATGGAATATAAGCAGAAGATGCGTGCCGCCTTCGATAGGAAAGTCCGTACCAGACGATTTCAGGCTGGAAATCTCGTCCTCAAACGAGTAGATGCCCTAAAACATGTTGGGAAGCTTGAAGCTAATTGGGAAGGACCATACACAGTCACCAGGGTGCTCGAGAGAGGCGCATATGAGCTCGAAGATATGGAAGGACGACAACTGCCACGATCTTGGCATGTTACCCATCTCAAGCGCTTTTATGCTTAGTGTTCTCAAATTTGCCTTTTGTACTGAACCACGATCAAATCATATTCAGTAATGAAATGAATTCTAAATGCTCTCTTCAGAAATGTCTATATATTTATTTACTACATAATTGTTGGATACACTGCATTTTTAAAGTTATATCGCCAGTTAATCATGACGACCATAAAAGTCGACTCAAGCAACAAAAGTTGCACGCCTCGAGTAAAATCTCGGCAAGGCTAAAAAGC